GAGGGCGGCCAGCTGGATGGCACCAGTCTCTGTGGGGCTTAGGCTTCCCATTGCTCTTGTGAGCTGCTGGAGGGCACAGGCCTCTGTGGAGTGCCAGGTCCCGCTGCTGGCGGCTGGGGAGTGCTGCTGCCCATTGGGTCTCAACTCCTGCTCAGCTTTTGCTGTAGTTTTTGGGGATGGGTCTCAGCTGCTGGTCTGTGCTTCTGTTGCCTGGGGATGGGTGTCTGTTCCCCAGCCTCTGTTGATGGGGGTATATCTCAACTCTGATAGGGCTGCTATTATGGGGGATGTGCTGGGCTCCCGGCTGTTCATGGCTTCCGCGACCAACACCTTAGGAGCTCCACTACTGTGCACAGGTCTTTGATGACACAGAGTGTCCACTGGCCCGATGGTGCCAGGTGCGCTGGTGGGCTCAGGTTGCTGGGCCCTAGCTGCTCCCACTGCCTCCTCCCAGGGAAGACTCGGGATCTTCCAAAATGATGGGACCTCCCCGGGGTGCAGGTAGAAGCGCCCTGAAGGGCAGCTTACCATGGAAGCTAGCTGCTCTCATCCACAGCACAGGAACTTTCTGCTCCATGGCTCTGCCCTGCTGGGGTTTGGTCGTCCACCTTCACGTCCACTCACACTCTCTCACACACTCGCTCACTCTCACACACTCACCCTCCCTCCCATCCTTCCTACTGCCATCTTTCCAAATATGAATATTTTTTAATAGTATCTCAGTGTACTTCTAAACATTTAAAAATACTATACAGTACTATTGTGCACTGTACTGTGGGAAGTGGTGAGATACAAAGCCTAAGTCTTTGGTGAGTCTGGTAGGGAAATATTGAAAATGCCTGTTCCTGAGTGAGCTTAAACCATCACTCTTGCAGTTGTGTACAAAGGCTGTGCTTGTATGTGCATCTCTTCTTTGCAGCTGTGTTTCTCTATCACTGGGTCTTTCCTTGTTGTCTTCAAGTGACCATTTACTCCGTTTTCCCAATGTACTTGCTCTGTGTACTGCTCGCTAACATAACTGCCTTTAATATCATATTGAAACATGATTTCATTTGTTATTTTGAATCGTTTTATTTATTTAAAAAATAGATAAATGAACTTTATCATTTTCCTTGTAAAGAAATCAAGTTGTGCCCTGGCCGGTTTGGCTCAGCGGTTAGAGCGTCGGCCTGTGGTCCGGAGAGACCCGGGTTTGGTTCCCGCTAAGGGCATGTACCTCGGTTGCAGTTTGTCCCCGGCCCTGGTTGGTCGTGTGGGTGGCAACCACTCGATGTGTCCCTTTCACATCGATGTTTCCCTCTTTCTCTCTTCCTCTCTCTCCCTCCCACTCTGTCTGTACAAAAACTGGAAAAATGTCCTCGGATGAGGATTAAAAAAAAAAGAAATCAAGTTGTTATGTACTTCAGTGACTTGTTTGATTCCCTATCCCTTCTCTCCTGCCTTAAATTAGGGACTCACAATGCAAGAATTCTCATGTCTGTTAATCAAATGAACTTCTACATATATGTTTTTGACCAAATATATTTTTATGTAATGTCAGAAGTACTTAGTTAAGAGTGAAAAATCCAGATATCTATTTTATTTTTTAATCAGTTAAATCAGGAATCAGAAATGATTTTATTTATTCCTATGAAAAGTAGTAAATTTTCATAGTAGTAGATAACTTTCTCTTTTTAATAGGAAATTTGTGACAAGGACAGTTTTTTCATGCTCAGTCTGGTTCTTATTTAGTTTATTATTTAAAATAACCCTTCAGGACCTCAAGCAAAATGATTATGGGTGTGCAGTATAGTGCATTCCAGAACACTGACAGATGTAGTCACTAAGAATTGGTAATGGTCAAAATAACTAATTTGTGATCTTAATCTATCTTTCTTTAGTATATCTTTAGAGTCTTATTATTTTTATTTCACTGTAAGTCTCTTAATAATATAAGCACTGTTCTCTCCCCATTTGTTATGACTTATTTTACACCAAATCTATATTTACATTTCTAACCTTTCTGGAGTGAATTTTGACAGCTGATCAGGTATCTTTCAATTACTTGAATGTCTTTAAAATTAGAATGTTCTCCTCTCACTCAATGTTCCCCACAATTACCTCAACTAGAAAACATTATCCTTTATATCTCTTTCAATTCCATATCCTATTGTTTACCAAATATTTAATTCTACTTTTTATATATTCCTCATATCTATTCATTTTTCTCTTATTACCCTATTCCATAAATCTCTCATTTCTTGTGTGTTGCTTTAGTCTCTTAAGAGGTCTTGCTTCCCTTCAATCCACGTTATTCACTACAGTTAGAACAAGTAGAATTATGCTTCTAAAATACTTAACTCTATCTGTTTAAATATACCAGTGGCTTTCGATTACTGAAAGAATATTATACTCATTAGCGTGGATATGTGTACCTTCTCTTTTTGATTCAAGCCTAGTTTTGTATCCTTTCTTCTACCACTTCTCCATATATCCCATTTATTCTTTCCATGGCAGAGTAAGAGTATCATTCCCTGAATATATGGTGAACTTCCATGTTCCCATTTGTTTTACTTATCAGATTTTCCTCATCTGGGATACCTTTTATTCGTTATCATTTTTGCAAATTAAGTGTCTAATTTATCAATAAGATCATGTCTTATTCATTGGCATAGCACCAGAGAAGAGCTCAGGGCTGGACATGTCTTACATTCTGTTATTCTCATTTTAAGATATGTATAATGGAGAAAAAGTAGAATAGTACCAGAAATCAGCAGTCAATATGTTTAGTCTGTGTGTCCAAGAATCAAAGTACTGAATGGGGAGCCATAACTAATATTAGAACATGATTGGAATACATCAAGAGTGGACCTGGGGAAAACAAAAAAAAACATGATCTGAAGTGAGCCTGAATATCTGGATCCAGTGAACACAAGGTTTATGAGAGAAAGATTTGGAAACAGTGGGGATGTTAAATCCATTCATTCTAACTATAATTGCTTTCGGTGAGGTCTTTATATGTGTGTTGGTTATTGCTTCATAGTATCACAATAATACTATAAATAGCATTTTATATTCTCCTCTTCCATGCACTAATTTCTTCAACTAGGGCAGGTTCTGCGGTACACATTATTATAGGAAGACCTAGATAAGAATGTTGTGATAGTGTGTGGCAGGGTCAAAAGTCATTCTTCAGTTCTAAAATTTTCTCTCTGCCAGGAAATGGGTTTTGCTTCAGTGCTAGCTAAGAGACTGATGTGACTTACTGCAGTGGTTCTCAATCTAAGGTAATAACACACACCTGCTCAGCAGCATTTAGACATTTGTGATGTCTGTGTTGCTGCTTTACTGGCAATCACTGCCTGAGTGGAAAATTACATACATTCTGCAGTGTGTCAGGCAGCCACCCAGTGAAAAAGTATAGTGCCTTTGTTGAGCAACGCTGAGTCAGTGATAATATCCTAATTCCCTAAACTAGTATTACTAACAAAGGACAAATGCTTCTGGGTATTTTTTATTCCACTTCTAAGATGGCTAGGTGAAATAGAGGAAGCAGAAGATCTAAACATATCTTCTAGGCAGGTCCTTACTGGGCTTCATTGTCATGAATCTTCATCTGCTAAAGCATGTTAAGTCGGTCTCAGAGTCTAACCTCTGTAACAGTAGATGTGGATGGAGGGATGTGTAGAATGGAAAGCCATGGGTACAGAGCCATGTATTTTCAATTTACTCTGGGAGCTGCATTCTCATAATACGGTTTTGCAGTAAAGGGGGAGATGGCCCTCCTTTCCTGTAGGTAGGACATATTCTACCACAGATAGTCTTCCAGCATTCTTAATGATATTCTTGATCTGAACGTTACTTTATGAATGATGTTTGAAAGTATGTGCACTTTCATGTGGAAAGTATATAATATAAAAAATGGGATGAATCTCCAGCTTAAGGACAAAAAATTTATATAATACAGCAAACCATAATACAAGAAGATGCCACAAGATGATCTGAACAAGGATGAAACATTCTGTATTCAAACTTCTATAAATGGGAACGAAGTATTAATAAATTCCCTGGTATAGTCCTGTATGACCTTATTAGGATTGTCAAAGACAATGGAATGCTGAGAGAATTTTTCTTCTTTTAGGATGGATGGGTTCTTTCAAATTCCTTTTTCTTTGCACATAATTATGGTGAACAAATAGTAACTAATATTGTCAGCTCAACGTATTCCATGCACTGTGCTAAACTCTTAGATAATCATAATTCTTCCCCATAACCCACATTTGAAATAGACAGTAAAATACCTAGTTATAAAGTAATAAAACATTAATTAATGGTCAAAATAAAACTGAATATACTTGTAAAGGAACAATGGATGCAACTTTCTCTTTGATAACATAGAAATTTGTATTTGTGAACTTTCTCTGAATTCAGTGTCTAGTTCTACCATGTAGAAAAACCTCAAAAAGCTTTATTTATCACTGATAGTTTTTACTTCCCAGTCTTTATTTAAAACCATATAATTGATCTGAACTACCTTTTAACTCACTCTCAGTTACTTATGCCCGAACCCCAAGAAGAAAACTCCAAAGTCTTTACCCAGCCACAATAAGAAATAAATGTACTTCATTATGGTTACAAAGAGTTTGTGATTTTTCCTTTTTTTAAAAAAAAAAAGTGATTTGTCTTGTTAAAATGATATTTAATTAACCCTAATCTGCATGATTTTTAAAACTTTTATTACTATTTAGAAACTTAATAAAATGTATAAGAGCATTACTGTGATGATAAAAATAATTTGTCTGAGTCCATACTTTTAGTACGATCACGATATTTTTCATCTTTTAAGGCTCTTAAATTTTATTTTATTTTTTTCCATCACCATTTATCCCTGATCACAGTATTTTTTAAAATGTTCAACTATGTTTCAACTCAGTGAGTACTGTGATAGATTTTTTTGTCATCTTTTTGTGCATTCAACTAAGATTTTGTAGCTAATTTAATCTTAACATTGATTTTTACAGGCTCAAAAAACTCAGAAACCACCACAGAAACCTGCCCCCACAGTTGTTTCTGTGGCTCCCGCTGTCAAAGATCCGTTGGTTAAGAAACCAGAAACTAAACTCAAACAAGAGCCAACTTTTCTAGCATTTAAGAGAACAGAAGTCAAGGTATAGTACATTTTATATTTGTCTAAGATTATCTACAATGAAATTTTAACTTAGTTGAGTAAACAATAGTTACTTTAAAAAATGAGTGAGGAACTATTATATACTAAATGACTATTGGAAATTAAGATTGCATTACCGTTCGCATTAGCTAGAAAGGGAACATTATCACAGTTAGGAACTGTCTATCTGCATTCCAAGTTGACATTCTTTACTATTTCTGTGTAGTCAGACACTTATCTCCACCAGGAATTTGCTTTAATATCTAAATACCTCTGCCCTCAGTAGCAACAGTTTTGCTCCTCATATTACTTGTGCTGATTAACCCCATAGCTTTTTTTCTCCGTACCTATCGGCTATTGAAGAAGTTTTCTTGCTTTGCCTTTTTTATTTTTCCTTTGAGTATCATGAACTTTCATGGTACCTACATCTATACTAAGGGGCTAGGTTGTTTAGTGAGAGTATCACCTTTCTCATTCCTACGTTTGCATCCTTGAACACATTATATTATTATTAGTATCTGGCATTTTGATATCATGGAATAAAATACTTTTCTAATCTAATTTTATAACAGAATGAATGATTATACTGAGTTACACATTCTGGTTTTAAGCAGAGTACTAAAGACTAAAGAAAAAAAACATTACCCCAAATTTTCAAAAGTTGACCCCAGAAAATTCTAAAGTTGACTGTATGATTCCAAATGAGTAATGTAGATCCAGAACCTTGGGATTATGATAAAGAATGTAAATATAAAATACTCTGAGAAAGATACCAATAATTTTACTTATAGATCATTTATTAAATTTAACTTACTAAAGGGGAAGAGTTGATATCCAAGGGATATATATCTATTATTGATTTGTCACATAGAAACTTGGTAAATTGGAGTAGAAGTAAGAAGAATTTATTGAAAGTAATTAGAGTTGCTGTATTCTATATTTAAGTTGCTTTTAGGTAGATTTTTATACTAAAGTTTAGTTTTGGGAAATTTAGTATGAAATCACTTTATGGCAAATTAGTTAAGGCCTTAGCTGTCATGTGTTCTCTGCTTAAGAAATTTTGGTGTGTTTATGATAAAAGTGGGTAAATTTTTGCTATGAAAAAAAAGTTGTTCTCATTCTTATATAAAGAGCAAATGGCTTTCTAACTAGGATAATGGGCAAGAAAATATTTATAGTTAAAAACAGTTGAGAAATGTATACACTAAAGTATTAAGAAATTGTTTGATATCACTGTTTGTGATTTTTACATTTGGGTGTCCTCATAGTGTTGTAAGCCATCTGTCCATCAGTTAAAAAGCAATACCAGTAGCAGCAAGCCATTAAAATAAAACGCCATATACACAGAACTTGCTTTCTCATTTGTACTTCATAAGCGTTGGTCTTTTTAATTACTTCAGATGGGTTTTCTTTTATGAAGTTTGTTGAAAGATCATTTAGCCATATGGCAGACAGTTTTATGTTTAACAGAAGGAAGAAGGAAAAAAATTAGATGTTTCAGAAATGAAAATTAAAAGTTTATGACACCTGTGTCCTTTTGCTTCCTTGAGTAACTTTTTCTCATTAACTGTATGCATTTCTCTAGGAATTTATAATTTATGTAGTTTATCTTCTCTGGGTAAACTTATGAGATAGTCATCTTGTGATGTTATTGTAAAAAAAGTACCATTTCTCAGAATATGTAAACAAAAATCTAGACTCCTCCTCTTAAAAAGTAAAGATCTCAGCATTCTATTTTGATTCTTTTTCATATTGGTTAAAAATATTTACATGTAGACAGTATTGAAGGATACTTTTGTAAGAACTAAAATCATTTTTATCAACTCTTTCGGAGTTCAGTTCTAAAATACAACTGGATATATTTTAGACATGATAACTACCATATTTTTAAGTGAGATTCTATTTGTAATGCTTTATCTTTTACCTTTGTGTAAATTTAACACTTTTTTGAATCTTCTTAAGATTATGAACATCGCCATGGCTTGGTGGCTCAGTTGGTTGGAGCATTATCTATACACCAAAAGTTTGCAGGTTCAATTCCTAGTCAGGGCACATACCTAGGTTACGGGTTCAGTCCCTAGTCAGGATGCATATGGGAGGCAACCAATCAATGTTTCTCTCTCATCTCTCTCTCTCTCTCTTTCTTTCTTCCCCTCCCCTCCCTCCCTCTCTCTCTTTTCCCCTTCATGTCTCTAAAGTCAATAAAACAAAAACAAAAAACATACCCTTGGGTGAGGATTTTAATAAAAGAAGAATATGAAGGTAGAAAGAGTGCCAATGAGAAGTTCAATTCATAATTAGTTTGAACAGCCCAAATGTGAAGATGAAAGATATCTGTGCTTGTGTGAATAAGAGCAATCTTATTTATATAGTGACTTTGTTATCGCTGTTAGCTGTTGACTGGCCAAGGAAGTTAGAGGAGTTCAATTAACCTTCATGAGATACATTGAGGAGTAAGTCAGACCTACCCAAAGTTTTACTGTACAGCTTATGAGGCAGTTGATAAAATCCTTTATACGGGAGCAAGGATCTCTTGTGTGATTTCAGTGGAAACATAGGCACATAGTGAAAATAAAGTCATGAGCCCTTTTTAATGTATCACCAGAGTTGTACAATTCCAAGTAATCATTGTGTATCTGTATATATTTTACAATACCGTAATTATTTGCTTAAAATTTGAGGGGAACGTTTTTATAAAATGGGTTCAGAGTCTCATGCATTCACTCATTAAGTAATTATTGAGTGAATTTGAATCTCTTTACCTCAGACATCTAATATCTTGGGTGTAAACATTTTTATTCCTTGACAGACTCATGGATACAGAGAACAGACTAACAGCTGTCAGACGGGAGGGAGTTGGGGGTTTGGAGATGGGTGAGGAGGGTGAAGGAATTAAGCAAAGAAAAAAAGAAAGAAATACTCATGAACACAGACAAACAGGATTGTGATTGCCAGAGGCAAGGGGGTTGGAGGAAGGTAGAAGAAGGGAAAGGAGGATAAATGGTGATGGAAGGGGACTTGACTCAGGGTGGTGAACACACAGTACAATATACAGATGATGGGTTGTAGAATTGTACACCTGAAACTTGTATAATTAACAAATGTTACTCCAATAAATTCAAATGGCATCCTAAAATTTCTCTTTGGAAATAGTAGCACCCATTAGCTATGGATAAGATTTTTTGTGTTTTTTTTTTTTTTTTTCAGATCAGTTTTATATGAACTTAATTTTGGTGGTATGATTTAAATTTTCCAAGTCATTACTTTTGTATAAAAAGTCCAATTAAACTTGTTATATATCTCAGAATACTATATTAGGTATTTATTATACTTGGCTTTAAGTGATATTTATCTTCTTTTTTATTTTTATAGACATCCGGGGTTATTTCAGGAAATTCTTCTAGTACCAGTGTTTCCTCTTCAGTAACTAGTGGCCTAACTGGATGGGCAGCTTTTGCAGCCAAAACGACTTCTACTGGTCCTTCAACAGCAAAATTGAGTTCTACAACCCAAAACAATAGTGGGAAACCTGCTACTTCAGCAGCTAACCAGAAGCCTGTGGGTTTGACGGGTCTGGCAACATCATCCAAAGGTGGAATAGGTTCCAAATTAGGTTCTAATAATAACACGTCACCCACTGTACCATTGAAACCACCTCCATCTCTAACTTTGGGCAAAACTGGCCTCAGTCGCTCAGTTAGTTGTGACAATGTTAGCAAAGTAGGTCTTCCTAGTCCAAGTAGTTTAGTTCCAGGAAGCAGCAGCCAAGTAAGTGGAAATGGAAACAGTGGGACAGCAGGGCCGAGCGGAAGTGCCCCCAGCAAAACCACATCAGAACCAAGCAGCACTCCCTCAGCATCCCTTAAAGGTCCAACTTCACAAGAATCACAGCTCAATGCCATGAAGCGATTACAGATGGTCAAGAAGAAAGCTGCCCAAAAGAAACTCAAGAAGTGATGTGGCCAAGTAGGTTTTAATATCACAGTACCCTAAAGATTAAAATCTTATTATTAGGACATAAACTGTATTATACTATAATTTAATAAAAATCTTCGTAATGAAATTTCTAGTATTTCTTACCTTAAAATGCTAAATATTATTTAGAAAAATTTGGAAATCTTTGTTATTTTAAATGTGGCAGTTTTCACAATTCCCATTGTATGTGAAAACAGTGATTAGAATGACTAATTCTTGGTGAGAACTTCCAGAATCCCAGCAGAGTGGTAGCATATGTGAATTAAAACAAAAACACAGTAGTTTGTTCACCTTCTAACAAAGCCCCAAGTACTATCCTTCTGAATAAGGAACCTTACAGGGTGGCAGGGATGACCCACTATGAAGTTTTCTGCATTCCCCCCAATGTTATTCATAATCAGTGTCAATCCCCAGCTTCGTTCTCCCTATCCTCCTCAAATTCTTCATCTCTCCTTTTTCAAAATTCATTTTTTGTGATTTCTGATACCTCTATATTATATCTTTACCTTTTTATCACCTTATATCAATTATTTATCTCTGCCAATAGATTGTGATCGACTCTGTCCCTTTAATGCAGTACTTCTCTTACATTGCCTACATTTCCTTACATTGCCAATATAACATATGCACTAGTTAATAAATTTTGAGTTTTGATCTAGCCTGGTTACACACAGTTCTGAGAATTATTAAGAAAAATGCCCATCCCACAGTCTGTGGATGAATCATTTCTACTTGTTTACATACTGATAGTTCCTTCTTATTCTATGAAAAATAAGGCTGTTTTATTTTTACTGCCCCAAAATGTTTTAGCACTTTATCTAATTTTAATTAACTTTGCATGAAAGTAGCTCCTGTATAATTATTGAGATTGTTCTGAAGTATGTGTATATACACTGTGAGGTCAGAAAGAGTGAATAATCTTAGTTATTGCCTTATTTGCAAGATAACACATTAACCCGCCATTGTTTTACATATATAAACTGAAAGAAGACATGAGGCTTTCTGGATCGCAGAAACAGTTTATTACAGCAAAATGCAGCAGCCATTTTGTACTTCCTGAATACCTCCATTCATCCAAAACCAAGTCCAACAAATTCCCACATTCCTTCAACTGTGATGTGTGCCACTAAGACTTCACTCTGGCCTCTAAATTCAAATCCTTTCTCTTAATCCCTACATTTTTATAACATCACTATTCTAAAATATGTTAATAAGTGATTTCTGTGAAGATAAAACTTTTTAAATTAAGCTTTTTCTTTTTCTAAGGAAAGATTACTTTAAAACTACCTGTTAAATAATGGGACTAAGTTATTCATGATAATTTAGAATTCAAGATTGAGATAATCCCATCACTTGCAAACAGGAGTAAGCATCTATTTACATATTTAAAATCTGCCTGCTGATGTTTTTGTTTTGAGAAACAGATTGTTGTTCATTAAATATCAATTTGGCATCAACCTCAAATTCTCTGTAGGGTCAAAAGACCAAAAAAGATGCATGCACCCATTATTATTTGTTTATAGTTCAGGGTCAGTTAGGACTAAGCTGGACAAAATGACCCCACACAAGCTCAGCTCAACAACTGTAACAGCTCATGTAACCTCAGTGCGTCTGAAATCTTAAAACAGTAATGCACACCATTTGCACATGGGCACTTGAAATGGAAAATTTTATCCCATATGTGCTGGATAGACTTGAGAAGCAATTATTTTCATTTCTACAGTACTTCAGAGAGGACTTCATAAGATTCGGTTAAGAAGTCACTTATCTTCTGTTGAGCATAACTTTGTGCTTATAAATATACATTTAGAATCCACACATATGTGTCCGTACATACATCTAGTAATGTAAAACTCAGTTTGGTATTTTTACATCTGTATATTTGGTATGAGTTTAGCTCTTCAAGTAGCTACTTAGACCTTGATTTTTTCATATCATTAAGTAAGCTACAAGGCTTTTTAACTGAGCATGTGATGAAGTGGCCAGCTTTATATTAATAGTATTTATTATTTAACTTTCTTTGTTATATATAGTTTGCTTTTCTCACTAGAATTTGAGTTGCATGAGGTCAGGGATCTTGTCTTGCACACCATGGTATTACCACTGCAGCTCTCAATATTTATTGATTCAACGAATGGACAGACAATTACGTGAGCCAAGAAGTAGTTTTAGGATTGTAAGTTCAAATTCTATTTTAGTAGAAATGTGTTCAGTATCACTTTTCTGTTTTACGTATTGTGCTGAATCATAGATTTTAGTGACTTAAAAAAAAAAAGAAAAACATTGAAAGAATGTTGGTTTAAGATCAGGAGACGTAGTTTTGAATCCCTGTCCCTCCATGTATTAGCTGTGTGGTCCTGTTTTCTCCTCTATAAAACATAGATGATAATGAATGGGATAAAACTGAAGGCACCTAATATTCAAAGAGTAGGTGATGCTGACTCTTAACAGGGATGTAGTGCTGTTGTGATAACCATAGCTTATAGGAAATACACCATTTTAGAGAAATTTTTATTAATGCAATAATTATAAAAATTATATAATTAGAGAAAATCATAAATGCATTTACATACCATAGTATAGTTTTGTAAAGTAAAATATGTTTATTTAATATACTAAGAATATATCCTCTAGATTTTTTAAAACAAGAACATATCCCAGTGTATGCTAAAGTGGGACTTGTTTTCCCCAGCCAGTGTGGCTCAGTGGTTGAGCATTGACCCATGCACCAAGAGGTTACCAGTTTGATACCCAGTCAGGGCACATGCCCAGGTGGTGGGCCTGATCCCCAGTGGGGGGCATGCAGGAGGTGGCGAATCGATGTTCTCTCTCATCAATGTTTCTATTTCTCTCCCTCTCCCTCTCTCTCTAAAATCAATAAAGAAAAAAAAAAATACTAGCATTCTATAAATAGTTGAGTATCCTTAAAGAGTATAACATCTAGTGTTCTTCCAGTCATTGAAATTTAATTATTTCCTCATCAACTATAATGTAAACTTACATTAGCTTGAATTCGTGAGGTCTAGGTGTGTTTAGTATTGAGCAGTGCACCGAGTACCTTAAGATGCCATAGTTAACAACATAGGATTTAAATAAAGTGAGTGTTTGGGATTTTTTTTTTTTTTTTTTGCCATCTTAGAATATAAAGATTTTCTCTTTTTGTTCACATAGATTTAAAAGGTTTGTTCAATAAACAGAAGCTTATGGGAAAAATGAAAAGGTTTTGATTCTATGTTTTAGTAATGAAAACTTTAATTTTTGTAAATTATCTGAACTATTCATCAGTTCAGATAGTGACAGGCACTTAATAGCCATCTCTAAATGTTCAAATTATATTTCAGACAAAATATGGACTATACCAGCACTTAAAGCACTTTATACAGTGCTGCATTTGTGTGGTTAGCAATGTGCATTATATCTCTTCTGCACAACTGAACCTTCATAGAATTGTTTTATATTAATACTAAAACAAGATATTCTGAAATATAAGGAATGTTCAAATAGTGGCTTTGTGATCCCTCCCCCCATGATTTAAGCACCCATGGTAATTTTTATTACTGGGGTTTTTATAATTTCTAAATTTTATTATATATAATACTAATTTAAATAATCTATTTTAAAATAAATACTAGATCATACACATACACACACACACACACACACACACACACATATATATATACACACTTAATTTGTTTTACAAAGAAAAATAACCACAAGCATTTTCCCTTTGTTCTTGGTTTAAAAAAAAAACACACACCACAAAACTATTTTAGAGAATACTGTACAATAACATTTAATTTTAAAAACATAAAAAATAATTACATTAGCAATTAATTTAGAAATGCTAAATTACATTAGCATTTCTCACCAACAGTTTTATTTTTAAAAACTTTTTGAAATTTATATACATCTTAACTATCTTGGGATTTTATTTCTCTTAGACCCAAGAAAATAATGCCTGGCCCCCAAATTACAATTACTTGATTTTAAATAACATACTAAGTTAATGAGGGTATTGTATAATGAAAAAATAAAATAAAGCCTAAATGGCAAATAAAATATAGGTTGTGTTTTTAGAACAGCAACAACAGTTTTACAGGAGTACGTGTTCAGTACCACAGTGGGGGACTGCAGCCGGTGGCTTCATTACAACTCTTGCTCAGCTGACTGCAGCTATGGTTTATGGTGTGGTTCCTTCATAGGTCAGACAGGAAGTGTTCATCCTAGGACCACACAAGTAGACAAAGCTTCTCTGAAACTTCTCATATACATCTAGTCAGTATTTCAGCCAGAAAAGCAAATAATGTGCTACTCTATTTATATAATTCTGCATTTGAGGGGAGAGTGTTAAGGTCACGATTTAAATTACTTATATATGTAAAGTTTCCTCACAGTCTTGGTTGTTGGGCATGTTCAGTTTTTACAAGTACACAAGTAGCAAGTTTGGATTTCCTATTGCTTTACCCTAGGCAAACTGGAATTTACTTATATTTTATTATTGGTACAAGGGACCATTTCAAAGACATAAAAAGTTTCTGTATATATAAAAAGGAAAAAGAGAGCCTTCATTTGATACCCAACTCAAAACAAGAAAATATTTTCATACAAAAACAAGTTACAAATAGTACCTTATAAAATCATATTTAGAATGAGAATTTTAGGAACAATACAGTACTCCCCTTTATCCACAGTTTTATTTACCCCCCGTCAACCACAATCCAAAAATATTTAATGGAAAATTCCAGATATAAACAATTCACAAGTTTTAAATCATGCTCCATTTTGAGTATTGTGATGAAATCTCATGTCATCCAGCTTTGTCCTGCCCAGATATTAATCATCCCTTTGTCCAGCATATTCACACCGTATACTCTGTCTGCCTGTTAGTCACTCATTGGCCATCTAGGTTATCAGATCAACTGCTGAAGCATCCCAGTGCTTACTGTAGCTTAATGCTCCTTCATATCACCGATGAAGTTATTCATTCACCTCACTGCATCTCTTCATGTAGATGTTGTATAACCTGACATCGTCACAGGAAGGGTGAGTACAGTACAATAAGATATTTTGAAAGGGAAACCACATTCATATTACTTGTTACAGTATTTTGTTATAATTGTTTTATTATCAGTTACTGTTTTAATCTCTTACTGTATCTAATTTATTAGACTTTAGGTATGTGTGTATAGGAGAAAACAGTATATATAGGATTTGGTACTCTCTGAGGTCAAGCATCCACTGGGGTCTTGTAACATATTCCCTGTGGAGAATAGGGACTAATCTATCATGAAATGTAAACATTTCTGTCATGTAAATGTCTAATGAATATCTGTCATATACATGTCATACATGTATGTAAAAGCAACCCTCTTCATTTGGTATTTGTATTCCTCAGGGATATATGTAACAGTATACATTATACAGATAAAATCTTTTTAAGTTATTTTAATTTCAATATTAAAGTTTGATGTCATGTTAGCACGTTTTATATGGGTAATTAAAGTCTACCTTATTTTGGTTCTTAAAGGAAATCACCAAGTCAAATTTAATTAGATGATTTTTCTGTTCAATAGAAGCATCTCCAGTTCAATAAAATGTCTCAACAAAATATGCCTGAGATCTTAGAGGACCGTGCTGAACTATACCTAATTTAAAGTTCAGTGTTCCAGGACGTGATGTCACAGCAAATAGTAACCTCAGCGCCTGCCTTGTCTAAGCACACATCGGCAACTAAAAATAGTGCATCTTGGCTCAGAACACAGACCACACATTCCCCAATCATCCTCCAAAAATTGAGTGATCCAAAAATATTTCCTCATTACAATATCATTAGCAATAATGTAGGATAATTTTTAAACAATTATACTTTCAAAAATGCTTAAACAAAACCATAAAAATAAGTAAACCTAGATATTTCATTTTCTCAAGGCTGGTATCAAGGAAGTTCTTGTAGCCCTTGATTTTGAAAACTTCTCAATACTTAAATATGGACCTGTGAGTAAAATGGGCCTCATCCTTGTCCATTGTTTGCATCACCAAGTGCCTTGTGATAGCAAATGTATGCACCCTTGGGGTGTTAGTACAGGATAGGGCTTAGGAGTGTGGACCCCAGAACCAGACCTAGGTTTGAGGTGCTACTCTACCACTTACTAGCAGTGTGACTTGGACTAAATGCACCTCTTTGGGCTCCAGTTTCCTCACAATATTATACAAGTAAGTTACCACATGTAAAGCATTTAGAACAATGTCTGACATTTGGTATTCATTCAGTAAATGTTAACATATTATTATGTTACTCAGTTTTATCATTCAAAACATATCGAAGAGAGGCCCCACATCAGACCTCTAGTTGGTTGTTAATTATAAATTCCTATCCTTATGTGTTTAGTACACTCCCTGGTTCATGCATACACACACACACACACACACACATATATATCATATAATGAATAAGGCATATATGTGTGTGTGTATATGTGCATGCATATGCAATAGATACATGAAAAACATTTTTGAGGCAAAATACATAGTACAAAAAATAAAAAGATAGTAAATTGAAAAAATCTTGTCCTTAAATTCAACTTTCATGATGGTAAAAACATACTCTTATAGAATATTTCCACTTTTAAATAGTTGATAGTTGGCACTTGGGCTGTTTTTCTGTCTCAATTTTAGTGTTTCCTTCAACATACATATCTTCTTCATAATAAATTTTGAAATAATCTTAGTAGAAAGCACAGCCTTCCTTAAACCTGATGCAGTATCAGTTCATGTAGTTCGGAGGTTTCTTGATTTCCAGGCCAACGTTGTAGTGTCAGTTAGTCACTACTGAGGTAGTCAGTCAACAGCCTGACAGAATGAGTCAGAAGGCTGGTTTTCTTAAGCATAACTCATCTTCCCCAGGTAGTTAGCTGGCACATATCCTTTTTGCCCTTGAGCTTCGGCTAACCACCACTCTTTATTGCCACTTAGGTCACAAAATCTAAGTATGTGGACTCTTTGGTATTCCTGAAGGCTAAGTTCATGGTTACTCCGTGCTTCAAAGGCATGAACTGCATAGAAAATCTAGACAGAGAAGCAAATGACATCATTAGAAGCAGAACATAAAAATGTTGACAAACATAAGGCAGATTTCCAAGCTTTTAGAAGGAATACTAGCATACTAGTTTTTGTTTTTTTTCTCCCAAAGTGACATTTCCCCAACTCCTGCTGAATGTATTTTGCTAAAATATGGTCCAGATAAGAATAGAGGGAAATAGGCATTCTGGTTGTTCTGTTGGGAGGAGTCCAAACTGTGCTTGGCAGTTTCTATTAAAATATTTTTTAATAATAATTATTTTTTATTAAATGATAGCTCTAAGAATCTCTGCTACAGAAAAAAACATTGGCAGATTTTTGCACAACAATGTTACTACAATGTCCATTTATAAGATGAAAAGTGGGAGAGATGTGAAAATAACACTGAAGGTTCAGCAAGGGAATAAATTCTAGACCTTCCACTAAGGAAATCTATAGTCATTACAAACGACTAATAACATGAGAAAATGATTATGACAAAATAGTAAGCAAAAATGACAAAATCAGATGTACAATATAAGCCTAGTGTTATTCAATAATTCTTTGGTAGAATTAGAAGTGATTTTCATTTTTACTTATTTGTTTCCTTATTTTCCAAACCTATATAATGACAATGTATTAAATTCTATTATTTAAAATGTTAAGTGACCTAGAAGAAACTAGTAAAACACATTTCAGTCAAGTTTTTCTCCAACCTCAAAAGAATACTTCATAATTATTAGATGCATAGGCCCCTAAGTATAGTCCCTCTTCCACTAAAATCATAAGACTGTTAATAAAAATGTTTAGTTATGGCATAAAATTAAGCAATCAGCTAATAACATTTATTCATTTATTCATTTAATCAGAATTTATCAAGTACCCATTAGGCACGAAATATAATGTTACCAGAGAACGTGTAATGCAGCCAGGAAAAAAATGTTAAAACTCTGGCCGGTTTGGCTCAGCAGTTAGAGTGTTGGCCTGTGGAACAAAGAGTTGAGGGTTCAATTCCTAGTCAAGGACACATACCTCAGTTGCAGGTTCATTCCCCAGCCACAGGTTCAATCCCCAACCCGAATGGGGTCCTGCAGAGGCAACCAACCAATTGATGTGTCTCTCTCACATCAATGTTTCTCCCTCCCTCCCACTCTATCTTAAAAAAAAAAAAAAAAAAAAAAAAAAATCAATGGAAAAGTATCCTAGGGTGAGGATTAAAAAAAAAATTTAAAAAAAGAAAGGCACAGTGTGGGAGGGGGGAGAGCATAGCATGGATAAATGGTGATGGAAAAAAATAAAATACAAAGAAAGGCACACACAAAAAAAAACAAAACGAAAAACCCCCACCCTACACATGCAGGTTGATATATCAGGTAACTGTGAGCTGCATTTTGGAAAAAGTAATTTTTTATAGGTGACAAAGTTGATAAAGGGGTGGACATACCATCCGCAGGTACAGAGATGAATATATGAAAACAGTATCTGGGAAAAGCAAACCGATTAACTTTCTCAAAATTGAGGGTCAGTGTGAAAAAGGAAACTAGAAGAAATAAGGTGAATTTGTTGAGCAGGAAGAGACCGGCAATGTGGGGCAGGGACTACAGTTACAGTTGAAGTTGTTCTTTAAATATTAAACTGTTATTTAACTTTTGGTAAAACTCTGATGACATTGATTTGTGTAACATCCGAACAATTCAGCATGTGCTACACCTCAGGCAGGGAACATTTCAACTTTTCTCCATTGACCACATCATGGAACACAGTAGTAATTCAAATATATGTCGACTTGACTTGAAAGTTAGGCTGAAAGGCTTGGATGTCATATATGAGGTCATCTTGTATCATGCAGGATACATACAAGGCAGATTGTATGTGGGTTATTTTATAATTTGAAAAGTACAGAAAACAAAAAGGGAGGTGCCAAAATGTCTGGAGCAATGGAGTAGCAGCAATAGCAACTGCCTTTTATAGCACACGTGACAATTCACATGTCAAACATGCTCTGTCCTCAACAGCCCTGTGAACTGTGACTTGGAGAAGCAGCAACGTGCTCTTAATCGCAGAGCTAGTGGGTGCTGCTAGGACCATATCTTCTAACTCCTGTGCTTGGTCCAGTTCTCATAATACTTTAGGAGCCGAAGTCTTGTTCTAGCAAAGATGTGCAGAGTGTAATCTTGCAGAAAAAGACTGGATTCTCTAATCTATTGATGCTCTGTGTTCGTTGTTATTTAGAAAGTGAACACGCTGAATAGATCCACAAAAGCAAAGTGGAGGATTTGGTTAGCAAAAGTGTTCAGGAATAGGATGTACCATAATACAGCTTCTGAAATAATCTGTAAGAGCCCACCTTAGCATTGCTAGCCATCTTCTGTAATTTTTTGCTGCTGTTGTTAATCCTCACTCGAGGATATCTTTCCATTGATTATTTTTAGAGAGAATGCAAAGGAAAAATGGAGAGAGAGAGAGAAAGACACATCAAGAGGCCATCTCCCGCACGACCTCAGCTGGGGCTGGGGATCAAACCTGCAACCCAGATATGTGCCCTTGCCTGGGAATTGAACCCGCTACCCGTCAGTTTGAGGGTTGACATGCCAACTGCTGAGCCAGACAGGCCAGGGCATTTTTGGTAATTTTTATACATAACATAAATACTTTATCAATGCAGCTATAGATTTTTTTAGCAGGTTGAATCATTTACTAATATTATTTTTATATACAGTTGACCCTTGAATAACATGGGGGGGAATGGAATGTTTACAACACTGACCACCCACCACCAGCAGTTGAAAATCCACATAATTTATTTATTTATTTATTTTTTATCCTCACCCGAGGACATTTTTCCATTTTTTGTTCAGGTAGACTGGGAGGGAGAGAGAGGAACAGAGAGAGAGAGAGAAACATCGATGTGAAAGGAACACATCGAGTGGCTGCCACCCGCACAACCGACCAGGGCCGGGGACAAACTGCAACCGAGTTACGTGCCCTTAGTGGGAACCGAACCCGGGTCTCTCAGGACCGCAGGCCGACGCTCCAACCGCTGAGCCAAACCGGCCAGGGCAAAAAATCCACATAATTTTTAACCAGCCCCCAAACTTAACTACTAATAGTCTGCTGTTGACTGGAAGCCTTAACATAAACAGTTGATTAACAAATATTTTATATTATATGTATTATATACCATGTTCTTATCAGAAAGTAATGTAGAGAGAAGAAAATATTAGGACAATCATAGGGAAAAGAAAATAGATTTTCTGTATTTATTGAAAAAAATCTACATATAAATGGACCCACACATTTTAAACCAGTATTGTTCAACGTCAACTGTATTTGTGGTTGTCTTTCATTTTGGCACATATTCTCTTAAGGGGAATATATAAAATCTTCCACCTAGATCTGTTTGGTCTGAAATTATAACAGAGCTTATTTTAAACACTTAATATAGATTCTCATGAAATTGTAAATTCAAAGTACAAAATTATAATATATACTTTCAATACTTTACATGATCACAGTCCAAAACTTATTTAGGATGAGCAGTTTTCAGTTTTTATATAATATGTTTAGGACTCCACTTAACATAAGATATATACCCAAAATGGAAATGTCTACTTTTAAAAAGATAGCAGTTTGTAACAAGTTAGAAGTTTTCAACCTGTTGGATTTAAGTGCTAAAGGATATCTTATTTTTTAAAAAATATTTTAATTATTCTAGGATGTATCTTTTTAACTTTCAATGTGAATATGTTTCGGTCCACCATTATTAAGTCATAATCATCTGATTTTTTTTTTCCCTTGGCATTTCTCAAAATCTATTTTATTGGTTGCTTCTTTTTAAAGCTCTGGCTCTTTTTATGTACAATATTGTATGAATGCTATCGGCTTCTCTGTAGCATTCACTTTTGCTATAATACTCTGTATTACTGTATTACTAACTCATACCCAATTTATTGCCCACAGTTTATAAACACTGGATCGTTCCTAGTTCAGCATTTCCTTATTCTATGTTTGTGCATTTAATGATTCCTCCGTCTGTGAGCCACATTGCCTGTCTTCACTGAATCTGTTTTATTGATTTCATCCCAGTTCTCCAATTAGCAACAACAAAAATCCTAATATTCCTTTCCAAAACTAAAAAACTATAAACCAGTATTTACAATATTATATAGAGCTGAGGAAGCCAAAATAGTTATTTTACATTTAAAAAAAAAAAAAAAGCTCATCTCTCTCTTACCCTCCAAGAGAAAGCTTTTAAGTTCTTTAGTTAACAATTATGTATAGTTATTACACAAGTAATTTTTATTTTAAAAAAACAACTTTAAATAAAAGGAAACAAAAAAGAGATCATCCAACTGCGTTAATACCTTGCTTCCTTCCTTGGCTCCCTGCCTTCCTTTCTTCCTTCTTTACTTTGTCTTTCTTTCCTACCCATCTACCTGAAGTAGTAATAAACATGCAATTACAGTACACGTGACTTTTACAACCTGCTTTTTCGCTTGAAAATATATTCAAAAATCTTTTCAGGTCATTAAAGCTCTCGAAAGCACCCTTTTAATGACTACTTAAACATATTGTGCTCCAGCTTGCTGACTTTTGAAGCACTTACTAAACAATATAATACTAGACATGTAGCATTATTATTATAAGTAGCTGAAAATGTGAAGATGAAGGACCAGACAATGAATGTAAGATTAGCTGCAAAAACAACTCACTTTGAAGAAGTCAAAATTTATGTCCTCAGTATTATTTACGTGGGAAAAGAAAAGTGCACTTATTCTCAGACATTAAACTTTCCTTCCAGACTGGGTTTTAGCCATTATTACACCTGGTCCTTTTGAGAAGTACCAAAGATTGCATCACAGTAGTCCAACCTCTTGCTTGCCACACAAGGCATCTTAGAGCCTGTGGTAGGCAAAATTCTGACATGGAACTCGAGATTATCACCTTCTGTTAAACATGTTCTATAATATCTCACCCCTTTGTGAATATGACGGGCATTCCTGTGATTA